TTAGGGGGTGGGGGTGGGGGGCGAGCACATGTATATATATATATATACGGAAGGAGAAAGGCACATGCGGATATACGTATGCTCATGAATACTTGTGTATGGGCACATCATACATGCATACATACATAACTCCTTGCATATGTATACATGGACGCGTGCATATTTACATACATGCATACTTACATGCACGTACGTACAAATTTCGCATGTGTGTATATGTATGTGTATGTATGTATGTATCTATATATGTATATATATGTTATATAGATGCGCATAAGCTTCCAGACGTGCCCGCATGTATGATGCAGCAGGCACTGTCAAGAACTTCCTTGCTCCACGAGAACTGTCCGACTCAGGGCCTAAGCTAAACCTTAAACCCCTAAACCTTCAAACTCATCCCCAACGTCCTTGAGGTATGAAGGCCCCTAAGCAAAAACCCAAACTCCAAATTCTTTGTAAAGCCGGTTCGAGCACGCATACGACCCTCAACAACCCCAAGCCCCAGACCTTTCAACCCTGAACTATCCTAAACCCATGAGCCCCAAACTCTCAAGCCTTATCAAAGAAGGTATGAATGGAAGCGAGATGACTGGGTCTTGCCCCCAAGAAGCTCCTTCCGGATTCGGGTGTAGGGCGTTGTTCATCGAACCTATAGGGTTTTTTGGAGGGTTTAGGGGTGTAGGGTTTAGGGTTTTTGATAGCGTGGAAGGCTTAGAGCTCGGGGTTTTGGGGGTTTGGGGTTTTGCAGCGTCGTTGGCGTCCAACACGTACAGTTGCGGTAGATTTGAGAAAGTCGGTGTGCAGAGTATCTCGGAATCTTCAACCACAACCGTACAGGGTACGTGTCGGATGTAGGAAACATGCTAAAGAGGTCTGACGAAATAGAAAGATGTCCATACTTTTACTAGAATGATGTCCATACATTTAGTTTGCATGTATGCATGCATGTATATATATATATATATATATACATGTATATATGCATACATCACATACACTCACGCATACATATACATATACATATACATCTACATATCCATATCCATATCCATACACATATACATAGACATGTACATGTACATATACATATACATATACATATACATACACATATCATGTTACATATGCATATAAATATATACATATACTTATACATACACATATACATGCATGGGCGAATGTATGTAGGTATAAAGAAATATACATATGTATACGTGTGTGTGTGTGTGTACGTGTAACTGTGCGTGTCTGGGGGCTGTTCACATTTTCAGTCAACAACTAAGAATCGAGAAGGCCCTGCACACTTGTCAATGTCCTGCTCAAGACAGGAGTTCTCTAAACCTACCCCCGTCCTCCAAACCCTGAAAACTGAGGTCTACCAACCGCAGGCTGTAAGCCCGTATAGAAGCTTTAATCCCAGAAAATACAATCTACGCATCGCAGGCCCCCAACGTAAAGAGTAGGAAGCTTAGGAAGCATCCCAAGACCTTGATTTTCGGCGTGGTGTGTTGTTTATTTGCAGTGCCACCTGTTGCAAGCGGACTCACTATCACTATTGGTAAGACCTGCTGTGGTTTTGATTATTCCTAGTCTAACAATAATTGGGAGTTTCTGAAAGCAGCGGCAGCAGCAAGATCCTCATGATGAGGACCGCAGAACAAGGAATCTCCAAGTTGACAAGCCTCCCAAGTGCCAACTCTTTTTAGGGGTTGAGGGTTTGGGTTTAGGACCACAATACACAGATCTATTCTGTCCCCACCTGCATTTGTGTCTTCTTCGTTTGTGCCCCGCTCTTTTTTGCCTTCTTCCTCCCCAGGCGGCCACTTTACGTCGGTCACATCTGAGTCGCCTGACGGCTGATTGGTCGAATGCTGCGTTCATCCAACAGCCACCGTAATTCACAAACCGTTGGTTCTAAATTCCGTGAATCCTACTGTAGTACCGAAAGTGCTAAATTTTAAATCCGTAAATCCGTCAATGCCCTACTCGATGAACTTTCGGCGCAGGTTTGCAGAGCTGTCTCAGCAACCCGAAGCGACGGATTAACGCCGACCCCGTCCAGCCGCAGGGAGCGGTGTCCGCGTAGCACTGGAAGCCTACGTTATTGAGGTGACACCAGACAGGTAGGTCTTTTGAGAAACAGGTAGAGCTGCTAACTAACGAAATGAAGGCTTCGTTAAGGTCCTTGTTGACGAAATTCTTAGCGCAGCCGGCAGTTCTGCGACACTGTGCTTCGCAGCATAGTAGCTTTGGCCGATTCTGCGCACAGGGTCACCGCAAAGCTACGGTGGCGCATTGCTCTGGCGGAAGATGATGGTTCGCAGCAAGAGAGCTTGCAAGAGCATCAGAATGTTCTTGCTCTTAGAGTCTTAGAGGAACCCAAATGCACGACGGGTCTGGCCGCTTACTTAGCATCGTTCCGTGCGCGAGAGCGCACGCCGCGTTTCAATCCACCGGGTGCTGTAATTCGAAATTGGGGTCCCTCTTGTTTCAGGGTGGGGAATGGACTCGGGACTTGTATAAATCGCTTATACTAGGGGCCGCTTTGAAAAGCTTGTGCTGGATTTCCCTTATGACCTCGTACTGTAGGGCTGAGACCTAAGCCTAAAACCCGTAACCCTAAACCAAAAGTCCTGAACTCCAAACTGCCACAAGAGGGACCCCTCTCGGATCGCATCCGCTTCAAGAGAACATCGTGTGCTTCCTCAGTTCTCCGGCTGTTATACGGTTGCATGTTTGCTTCGTCTTTAAATGCGTGACCATGACAGTTAGAACCGCGGGGTACTGATTACCATCATAACAGACCTCCAACACCACATCTTTTAACTGTTGGGGTTCTCATCAGGCAGTACTATGCCGACAGCTTTGGCCTCCAGTCTCTAGTTGTTTGGCCCAGTAGCTGAAGTAAAAGTTGGGGTGTGGTTCTCTGTCCAAGCCCTGAACCTCAAGTCACTCTCCTTGTGCGGGCTATGCGCACAAAGTGGGAGTTTCCGGAAACAGGGGACCCTAATACAGTAACTTCAATAGTAGGATCCTTATTACAAGGACCCCAAATAAGGTACCCCCTAGTTTTCGGAAACTTGGAAGCTGCACCAGAGCGCCTCCCAAATGCTCCCATCTTCGAGGCAAAGGCGCGACTCATAGCAAAGGCGACAGATCTAAGCAAACATTTAGAGCACCCCATAAGAGAACCACAAAACCTGGTTATGTTCGGGCTCCGCATAGAGCCAACCCTAACGGCCCTAAACATAAATACCTCAACCCCTAAGCCATAAACCCCTCCCTAAAGCCCTTAACCCGTAAACCCTTAAACCCCTAAACCCTAAACCCTAAAACCCTAAACCCTAAAACCCTAAACCCCTAAAACCCCTAAAACCCCCAAAACCCCTAAACCTCTAAACCTTAAACCCCCCAAACCCCGAGCTGGAGTCAAAGCTTCGCAGGAGCGCCGGACGCGGGAGATGGACGATGCGTGGATGCCCGGTCGAGGGAGGTCGTCCGTAAAACGGAATTGTAGGCTTCATGTTTAGGGTTTAGGGTTTCAGGGTTTGGGGTTTCAGGGTTTAGGGTTTCGGGGTTTAGTTTAGGGTTTCAGGCTGCAGGGTCCCCGGTTTCAGAGTTTACGGTTCTTAGGCTTTAAGATTGCGGGTTTCAGGGTTTCGAGTTCTTGAGGCATTCGGGTTGAGTCGTTTCGGTGCTGGGTCTGTATAGCTTTCAGAGCTTGCAGCGTGTGGAGTTCCGAGCTTCAACCCTAAACCCTAAAACCCTAAAAACCGTGGCCACAGTTCGGGATGTCTGCGGTTCAGCTACTTGGAGGTTCATGGGTAGTTATAGATAGGGTTATAAGGGGTTTGGAGTTCCTTTAAGGGTTCTATAGGGTTTAGGGTAGTTCTGACAAGTAGGGTTATAAGTAGGGCAACTATACCCATAACTACCCATATTAGGGGACTTATAACCCTACTTATAACTACCCCTGAACCTCCAGGTATGTCAGGGTCGAAGATTCGAAGATTCATGCACGGGATGCCATTTGGGGGGGAAGTATTCACAGTACCTATGTAGTCGAATGTAGGGTTTCTATATTCGGAATTACTATTATGATTTAGGGAAGCATCCCCCATAATTGTACCTTGAACCCTTTGGGTAAGGAACCCCCCAAATAGCATAGATAATTATTAAGGACCGTTATATAGAACCCTGCTACAGATCCCTTAGAGGACCCTTCTAAATAAAGGACAGTGGTTGAGTTCAATGTCTTGTTTAGTTTTCCAGTCTTCGGGCCCCAGGAACTGAACCCGCTTCACCGCAAGCGGAAGAAGCTGTTCAGTGGGTTTAGGCTGTAGGGTCTAGCGTTTAAAGCTTTAAGCGTTTAAGGTTTCGGGTTTTTAGATTGAGGGTCGGAGGTGTCAGAGTTTAGGTGTGTTGTTGCGTGCACCACGGTTCTTGCTAGTTTTTTAGCCAGACACTCGTAGCCCGAATCCTGGGAAAATCCTTGCAAACCTCCAACCCTGTCTGCCAGCTCCGCAGGCCCTGCACAAGTCCAAAATCTGAAAGGCATGAAACTTGAGGTTCATGGGTAGTTATAAGTAGAGGTATAAGTAGGGTAACTATACTTCTAACCCATATTAGGGGACTTATAACCCTGCTTATATTTGCCCCTTAAGTACCGAGGCCCAGCACACTCTAATACCCCGAAGACCACGAGACAATCAGCCCTAAACCAGTCTCGGAACCGAACCCTGCGACCCTTTGTGGAGGGGCCCCCTCCCTATAGAAGCCTCTGAAGGGTAAACCCCATCGCAAATTCCCCTTAAACCCTAAACCTAAAAAACAAGACCTAAACCCCAAAACACCTAAACCCTAAACCCTGACACCAGTCTAGGGTTTAGAGTTTAGGGACCTTAAATTAGGGACCTTAAACCTTAAACCTCCCAAACCCTCAACCCTAAACCCTATCAAAAGAGGTTGGGGTCAAGGCGTGGTGTTTTGGTGCCAAGGCAATGGGTCAGTTCACAGGAAAGCTGTCGATGCTGAAGACCAGGCGTTCGCCCCGTTCCTTTGGGGTTTGGGGTTTTTTTGGCTGCCTAAACCCCTAAGCCCTAAACCCTTGCTTTGTTGTCGAAGGTTTCAGAGAAACTTGCCAAGCATGGTTCAGGGTTTCATGGTTCTCAGATTTGGGTGACCGGGGTTTGCTTAGTGGGTGGTTGTCAACATTAGGGTCCCTTGTTGGGTGCCCTAAATAATGGGTGCCGTACTATAATAGGGATCCAACCACATACCTTCGCTTGTAGTCTAGGGGCCTAAATAATTTCCCATACTATTGTGGGGTTCCTTCTTAGAGTTATCGTGTAATGGGCCCCAAAACCCCTACTCCAATTATTAAGGCCCCTATATCATAGACCCCTCTTACAGATCCCTTATAAACCCCTTTTAAAGGAGCCCTTTAAAGGAACCCTATTCTAATTATTAAGGCCGCTATAGTAGTTGTTTGTTTTTTGGGATTCAAGGCCCGCTTCAACACATACTCTGGAGACGTGATGCTTTCAGAACTTCGAGGTTCATGGGTAGTTTTCAGAGGCTTATAAGGGGTTTAGGGTTCCTTTGAGGGTTCTATCGGGTTTAGGGTAGTTATAAGTAGGGTTATAAGTCCCCTAATATGGGTTATACGTATAGTTACCCTACTTATAAACATACTCATAAATACCCTTGAACCTCCAAGAGTGTCGGTCTGTTCCAGCTTTTGTATTGCTGGGCATTTCAGCAGCAGGGTCCCACATGAAGTGCGTTTGGGCGCAAGTTGCTAATTGTGTCAGGATTTCTGCTATCAGGCGTCTGTCTGTGTGCTGCATGCATACTGGCATAATGCTAGGCGTTGGAAGGGCATTGGGTGACATCTTCTGTTCTGTATTGTTACTACTTTGACGGTATACCTTCCACTCGCAGCATGTCTTCTGTATGCACGCATGCATGCATGAATGAATACGACTGCACACCAATACACAGTCATACGGCGTATGCGCGCACGCTTAGTGAAACTGGCAGTTTCTGGCGGCGGGTCATGACAGTAAGCACAACAACTTCAGTACGACATTAACGCCGGCGGACCCCGCACACGCATGTGTTGACGACAGCGGTGCCAGGAAATGTCGAAAGCGTGAAAAAGTGCGAAAGCCTAATGTTTCAGTTTTGAAAGCTTTCGAACTCGGTTTGTATGTCAGTCGAGGCATGCTACAAGAGTCGAAACATAGAGTGGGATTCTGCACCTTGTCTAGCATGTCGGGCCACCCTTTTCAAACAGGTTTGCACACAGACACACACACACACAGACCGACATGTGTGGATACGTCTGTACGCAGTTACCTATCTGTCTGAAGCGCTGTTGTACCTGCGTCTCCTTCCATTCATGCACGCAAGGCAAGTGGAGACTGCGATGGAGGTGGGACACCTGAACCGTAGATTGTAGAACCTCAGGCAAACCCCAAACATTTGATCCTAAACCCAACTCAATTCCCGACACGTGTTTGTGACTCGCAAAAGATCGTGCCTTCTCACCAGGATTTCAGAGCAACAAGCTGAGGTTGGTTTGGTTTTGGGTGTGAATCCAGCAACTGGGAGGTTGAATCCTGAGTATTTTGTATCCAGTCGCACACGAACCCCAATCAGCAATCACTTGCTCAACTGAATGAACAACGATAGCACACTGTTGTGACGCAGGGTTGGGTTAAGTTTTGTTGCATGTTGTCGGCTCCACACTCCCGATAAACGAGTGAGGCATGCAACATCTTGCCAGCACCCTAGTAAGGGTTTGGGAATTCGGGTTAGGGTAGTCCGAGGAACTTGTGGATCCTTGGCCCTTTCCCAAGTCCCTGGCAGCTTTCTGATGAGGACCCACCACCACTTCGGAAATAAAGATCTTAGTTTCCAGCTGAACCTGCAAAGACCCATTTTAGATCGCCAAGGGCCACCAAAAATTGTCAAATTTAGGCCTTTTTGGCCACCAAAATGACCAAAAATCAAATTGTTCGGCTTGCTTGGCGGCAACCCTTTAGCTGGAGAATGGTGCAGTTTGCAGCTTCAGTACAGATGGTAAACTAGGAGCCTCAAAATAAAAGGAGGGTGCGGGTGAACGATCTTGTATGTCAGGACCAAAAAAGCGCATTTCCTGTAAATTTGGAACGGAAACCGGAAAGAGCAAGAACAAGTTCCCTAAACCCCTAAACTCTAAACCCCTAAACCCCTAAACCCTCAAGCACAACCAGGTGCGCGAGCGGATGAACATGCAGGGCGAGATGACGCTCCTTTGCAAGTACTGGCCCGGAGCCCAGGGCTTAAAAAGATCAGGTTTGAGAGTTTTAGGGTTTTGGGATTTAGGGATTTAGGGTTTGGTTCAGGGTTTTGGGATTTAGGGTTTGGGGTTTATATAGGTCTTTGGGGTTTTGGATTTAGGGTTTGGGGTTTTGCGATCAAGGTTTAGGGTTTAGGGTTTGGAGTTCAGGGTTTAGGATTTCAGCGTTGCCAATGTAGTGCCTACGCGCAAGGCTGGGGAGGTTGTATACCAGTGGTGTACACTGACGGCGTGGAGCAGGAAGCATCAACCGCTTTTTTTTGATCGCTGCTTTAGATGTACAGAGTAGGTCCTAAAGCTTCAAAGGAACACAAACCGGCAAAGGTACTGCAGGGGCCTTAATGATTAGAATAGGGTTCAGGGGCCCATTAGACTAAAACTATAAAAAGGAGCCACCAAAATAGTGTAGGCCATGTTTTCGGCCAGTTCTTTTTCCACAAGAGTAAAGCCCAGGCCAAGAACCGTTAGAGGAAGCCCTAGACGAACCCCTTAAGCAAGTAGATCCCCTAATTTGGGGCCCTATACTACTGAGGGTACTTTATAGGAACCCCCATTAAGGGATCTACTTTTTGGATCCCGGCGGTCTGCACCTGAAACCCGCGAAAAGGGGTTCACGAGAACCTGGGTCTGGGCAGGGGGCACTGGCGGCTCTCCACAAAGGCCCACAAGGGCTTCGCACTGGCTTTCCAAGGGTGAAGCGGGTTTCGGGATAAGGGTTACATTGGAGGTTCATGGGTAGTTGTAAGTAGGGGTATAAGTAGGGTAACTGTACTTATAACCCATATTAGGGGACTTATAACCCCACTTATAACACCCGTGAACCTCCAAGTAGAGTTTAGGGTTGGGGTTTAGGGCCCCGGATTCGCTTGGGGCCTAGGAAACCCACGAAAGGGAGGCTTCGATCAGGATTCTATTGATCATGAGTTTCTGCAAGCTGCGGTAAGGGTAGAGGTGCTAACGTCTGGAGTTGAGGGTTTAGCGGGTAAGGTTTGGGCCTGGGGTTTAGGGATTAGGGTTTGAGGTTCAGGGTCAGGGTTTTATTTGAAGCTAAAGGGTTGGGGTGTTGAGCTTAAGGGTTAGGGTTCAGGGGTTACCAACCTACTCAGCAAAGAACTTATATGGTGAACCTACGAAGAGTTGGGCTCTGGCTAGGTCGATAAGGTCTGGTGTTCAGTTCGGTTCATGATAGGGCATAGGGCCTCGAGTTTAAGGGTTGTGTGCCTAGGCTTGCGGTTTACGGTTTTGGGGTGCTCGAACAAGCCACTTCAACAACTTTAATCCCCAACGTTATAAAACCCTGAAGCCCTGATCCCCGCAATGCCCTTGTAGTGCCCTTACAGTACATATGGAGACCCGGGAGAAATACCTAAACCCCGAGTGCACTACAGCCCGCGTAAACAACTCCAAACGTGAAATCCCTTGAAAAGCTCCAAAAGCTAAATGCTGTAAAGAAAATCCCAATCCCAAGCTCTAAACCTTCGAACAAAACCCCGAGCCCGAAGCTGCGAAAGCCTTCAAAAGCAAAAGCACCTAACCCTAAACCCTAAACCGTTGGAGGCGGAGCGCCTTGACACCTACTTCAAGCGGAAACTCGAGACTTGGCAGAGCTCTTGAGGGACTAGCAGTAAATCAAGTTTAGGTTCAGGGTTTAGGACTTCTGGGGTTCTAGGGTTCCTGGACATACTTCTACGACACTATGCCCCAAGACCCCGTTCTCATCATTATGGCCCCTACGTTAGCCATGCTCACCGTCGTATAGTGCTGGGATTGGGCTTTGAGTTGACGTCTGACTGTTCCTTGCTCCCTACATCCCCTCAGCCAAAAGCGTGTCTACCCCTAAATCCCACCGCCGCGACCCCGAAATCCCTAGGCCTGACCCTAAACCCTAAACTCTAAAAAAACCCTAAGCCCCTAAACATTCGTTAGGGTTTGTCTGCTAGTTTCATTGTAAAAATGTGCCCCCCAAAACCTATTTCCAAGTATCACGGCCCCTATACTCGGCCTGAAAGGCCGCTGATCCCCAAGGTCCGGACCGAATGACCTAGGACTCCAGGGGGGCGTGGGGGTTGAAGGCTTTACTATGGCATTCAGCAATCCGGGATGTAGGGTTTTAGGGCTTGGGAGTTCAGAGAGCCTTGCGGCGCGAAAGCAGCTGCAGACGTCAACTTGAAGACCGTCTACTTGAAGGGATTCGTGACCTTCGATCGCCGGGCTAACCGCAGAGGACGGGGTTACCAGGACAATCATGATGCGCTGCCGTGTTGATACCCTGGAGCACAGGCCGGCCTGAGCAAGCCCTAGGCCTGTTCTGGCAAGCGCGGCTTCTTGGTTTTGCCGCAGTTGTCAGCAAGGCTTTGGGACTGAGGAAGGCTGCGAGGCCATCGCCGTTCCCTTGGCAAGGCTTTGGGGTCTGAGGTTGAGAAAGTCCTGGTTGGGAGGGCATTGTGGGCTGTTCCCGGGACGATACGGCCAGTGTCTGGACGTCCAACATTTGGCACGGCAAGCGAGGCAATTTGAACAAGTGACCTGAGCTCGCTAGCAAGGTGACTGCCGTGGCCAAAGCTAGGCTCGCGCTCAGATGCGCCTACGCGATCTGGACTACATGGGAAGTGTGGACAGAGAGAAAAGAAAGACGGCTGGAAAGGCCCCGTCAGACAGTGCTTGCTGCACAGCGCGAGGTACAGCTGGAGACCTCGCGGCGGCTCGGAGCCCAGGAGGTTCTGGACCGATGGGGTTTAGGATTTAGGGGTCCAGTGCGGACTTATGGATCCATGCAAGGAAGCTATTCGTCAAGCCCCAGGGGCATGACGAGAAGAAGCAGGTCAGACGTGGCGCCTAATCTGGAACAGGCTGCCTGCTTGCAGACGCTCGGGACCTCCCCTTTACGATGAAGTGAGGTCTGAGGTGTTTGCAACCGTAACCCCTAAGCTTTTAAATCCCACCTCTCGCCTAAATCATGGCCATGCATCCCCACCCCAAGCGCCTGAACCCAAACCCTGCACCCATGGAGAAAGCTCAGCTATCAGAACCCTGCCAGAAATTAGAGCTTGACGTCAGTTCGGCTCTACTCGGCAATCCTGAACAACTTCGATCCTAACCCCTAAACCCCTAAGCCCCTAAACCCCTAAACCCTCAACCCTAAATGTGGAAAATGGAGAGCACAGGAGTCGAAGAGGAAGCAGGTGGCCGGCGTCCAAACTTTGCCTGGGCCTAATAAAGGCTTGGGGTTAAAGGGGCTTTGGTAGGGCTTTAGGGTTTAGGGTTTAGGAAGGGATCGGAGAGTGAAGGCTTTCAGGTGGACGGGATTGGGTGTGTTTTGTATGGTTGTTTTGAGTGATGGGGCAGGATGGCGGGGTGCTCCTGTTTTGTTCTGGACTTCAGGGTTGAGGCAACAGCTGGTGCTTGGTTGTTCTTTCGATTCAGCTGGTGCCTGAGCGCACGATGAGGCACCCTGCACCCCCTCCTTGGAACCCCTCAGATGTCTAGCGAGGTGGGGGTTTGCAACATGGTATCTTTGGGGTTTATATCTACTTTAACCCCAAGTATCCTACCTTTTTGGGGGTTCCTGATTATGATTTCCTCATATGAGTCCTTAAAAAGGTAGGATATTCAGGGTTAAGGTACTCCAGCTGCAGTGCACCAGGAAAACGTGTTCAGGCGAAAGAAGATTTCGGTCACGCAAGCACATTGGATATACTATACGACTAGTTGAGAAGCACTGGGCCATGCATGCCGCGAGTCCGTGGCTCATGTGCCTATGGCATTCCTGAGCTGATGCTGGTAATATGGCTGCCTTAACACTTACCACTACTATTTTGGGAGCTCCTCATCAAAATTCTAGTATAATATACCCTCAAACCCTGTTCGAATTGTTAAGGCCCGTATGTTACAAGCGAGTCGAAGGGAGGCCATTGTCGTGGCAAAGCCGGCAGCCGATTTTCCGACATAACCCAGACCCCCGGGAGGATGGATCCCCTGATTTGTTGCCCTACACTACTAAGGGTACTTGTAGGAGCCCTCCCTTAAGGGATCTACTTTTTGGATCCTCCCGGGGCTCTGGAAAAGGCGATCTGATTCCTCGGCCACGCCGAACGAATATAGGGGCCGCCGAAAGAATTACCTGTACCATTCTTAGGGTTCCTTTAAAGGGCTCTATAAAGGATCTACTGTAGAGTTCTATAATATAGGGGCTTATATAGTTAGCTATACTTTTTTCGGGGGGCTCCTTATTATGAATAGAGAGAGTATCATGGGCCCCCAAACCCTATTCTAGCCGTTAAAGCCCCTATAGTAACCGTCTGCACCCTAGGCCACAACCAGTCCGCATGGATTCTTGGGCAATGTTTGTGGGTGCTACTGGTAGCACATGTGGGCCGGCGACATTGGCCGAATATCTGCTCAACTCCCAAACCTCTAACCACCGAAGTTGAGACCTAAACCCTCAAACCTTCTGAGGAAGAGTCATAAAAAGTCCGAAACCCTACCTAGTCACAACGAGCCCGTACAGTTGTTGTATCGCCAAGGTTCCAGACCTTCGCCACACAGATCGAGGTGGCCGTTTCCCTGTCTGCGGGGTAGGGTGTGGACTACGGATGCTGCTACTACTGCCACCACGACGACGACTAGCACCACAACCACGACCACGACCACGACTTCGACTAGTACCACCAACACCACGACCACTAGCACTAGCACTAGCACTACGACTACTTCTAGTTGCACCACCACCACGACGACGACTACTACGACGTACAACTACTACTACTACTACTACTACTACTACTACTACTACTACTACTACTACTACTAGTACTAGTACCACCGCCACTACCACTACTACTACAATTAGATTTGAATCGGGTAGGATGCATTTTGTGTTGCCAGAGTAGGAACCTAAGGTGCTCTCAAAACTGAGGATGTCAGTATGGGTCTACGTCGCTTGTAGTACTACAGCTGATTGATGATATAAATCCTGCATGACCCATAATAAGGAATATGCCATAATTCCCATATATTCCTTTTTATGGGTAATGCAGGATTTATATCATCAACCGTAGGAGTTGCAGCACTACTAGGCTAATATTTGTTGAACGCCTGGCAGATAAGCCTCGAAACACTATCCTTAAACACGGAATACGCCTTGAATCGTAATGGTGAGAGCTTATGTGGATTCATGACCGTATATTGGGAGGACTAGCTATTTCATCCATGAACATCCGTTCCGTCCATCGGGGCTTTGCCTAAACCCTAAGCTTGAACCTTGAACCCCCCAACCCCTAAACCACGAAACTTAAGAGCCCTCAAGCAGCGCGCCGCGTTTGCAGGCCAACCTGGATGTCGAAGCGGATGATGACGACTTAGGAGGGTCAGACGCCCAGAGTCCGACTCTTTCCTTCCGGCTGCCTATGCAGTACTAGTACAAGCTTGGGACTTGCAGGGATGACTTGAGTTTACTACACTGTAAAAGCCAAAGGGAGAACCGAAATGATAGTAACAATGACCATAGTGGTTAGCTTTCTGGCGTGGGCTTCTTGCGTTGACGTGGTGGAACACTCAGGCTTGTGAAGCGTTGCCAGCGTATCCCTAAGCCCTGAGTCGCAAGCTAAAACTTAAGCCCGCAACCCTAAGCCATACACCCTACCTAGTAGTAGAGTAGGTAACCTTTAACCGTTTTCGGATAGCATAGTTCCTGTAATTAGAATCCCTATATAACCAAAAAGGTTAACCTTCAGGCCACCATGATACCCGACAAGTAGGCCCAAGCTCTGAAACCTTAGCCGAACCTTAAGTTCTTAGACAAAGAAGCTGTTGGATCTCTCGAAACCAGCGGCGTAGCCTGCTTGAAGTTCAGAAATGAGCTTGACGTGGCCCATCATTGCTCTCAAATTCAGGGCTTCGGGGCTGGGGGTTTATGCTTGGAGGATATGGCCATGATATGGCTTAAGAGTTTGCGGTGTAGGGCTTGGAGGTTGGGGGTTAGGGTTTATCCACAGCAGGTTTTCAAGGTTGTGCTTCTTAGAACTCGGGTTGTTGGAGTTCCTCATACAAAACTATCTAGGAAGTATATCCCTGAGCCTTAGCGGCTTTTCTTTTTGAGGGGAAACTCCCGAAGCACCCGAGACCACCCGAGATGCTGAGACTAAAGCCCTACACCCCAAAGACATATAACCCAAGCCACTTTGAGACCTTGACCCAAAGCCTGCATTCCAAGGTATTTCGGGCTCGGGTCCAGCTTAAAACATAACATGGAGGGCTCGCCCCTGTAAGCACCTGGGAAACCGTAGAAAAATCTATTAAAAGCCCGCTTCATAGCGCCACAGCGCGATTATAAGCCCCCAATCCCTAAACCCGAGACTCTTACATAACCCTTAAAGGAACCCTTGATAGAGCCCTTCAAGCAACCCTTGGTAGAACCCTTGAAGGAACCCTTCAAAGAAACTTTAAAGGATCCCCTCAACTCCCAGACGTAAGTCCGAAGCCACGCGGCCTAAGGCACGAGTCCCGGCGACGGAAGCGGCACAGCGGAAGCCGAAGCCAAGGTGCGCAGAGGGGTCTGATGTGACGATTTTGGGTTTCGAGTTTGGGGTGCTGGGGCTTCTAGGGCTTTGGAGTTTGGGGCTTTAGGGTATTTTAGCTGTATGGGGTTTACTTACCTTTAGTAATAATAGTAGTTGTAAGTATACCCCATTCCTCCATTCCCTAGTAACCCGAGGTAAGTTTAGACCAGAAGCTTCAAGGGATGTGAGTTTGGAGACCGAGGAGTTGCCTTAGGAGGCTCGGGGCTCGCGGGTTTTCTTGGCTTTCAGGGCGCTCGTTCGGAATTCGGATCCCTTCATGTGGGGTTTCCGCGTCTCGAGGACCCTAGGGTGGTTGTCAAAATTATGGCCCCTTTTTGGGTCTTAATATAATACGGCACCTATTATTTAGGGTACCCAAAAAGGGACCCTAATTTTGACAACCACCCGTATAGTGCCCTAAATAGGAGGATCCTTCTTTTACGGGCCCCCAAATTTGTCGCCGAAAGCTCCCACATTTGACCTATTAGGGGCCAGGGCTTATCTCGGGTGAAGGTGCTAAGCATACAGACATACATGGGTGGTTGTCAAGATTATGGCCCCTTTTTGGGTCCCTATTATAAGACGGCACCTATTTTTATTGTACCCAAAAAGGGACCCTAATTTTGACAACTACCTATATGGGTGGTTGTCAAAATTAGGGTCCCTTTTTCGGGTACCCTAAATAGTAGGTGCCGTATTATCCATATGATGACACGTGACAGTTTACAGTTGTCGCTCCCCGCATATGTTGTAGGGTATGCGTCGGACACTCTTGTTGATGTTCGTCCTGCCTTTCTAGTTGAGTTTGTCCACCACACCCCTCTCGGTACACTCATGCATGCATGCACACACACACACACACGCGCGCGCAAACAGACGCAAACAGACGCAGATACAAGCACGCGCACGTACCAAATGTCTATCTAAACCATGCATGTGTATCCATGCGTGTAGATGTATACAGGCTGGTATAGTCTTGCATGCAGTGCGAGTGTCATCATGATTGTGGTTCATGCATGCATGCCTGCAAATATGCACGTATGTCCGTATGCATGTATGTGGGTGGTTGTCAAAATTAGGGTCTCTTTTTGGGTCCTTAATAATGGATTCCTATGGTTCATGTTGGCAGAAGTGCTGGCTTTTGTTACTGATGACAGCTTGACCTGGTGCAACTACCCCTCACTGTCGTGATTTAAACACAATCCCTGAACTAGTTTCCCTACACCCCAATGGCGACCCGGTTCTACATCCGACAATTGCTGTCTTTACGGCCGGCTGCAAAGACCGTAAGCCCCAAAGGTTTAAGGTTTTAACATTCCTGAGGACTAAGGGCCTACTTGAAGGTTCTATAGTTACCCTACTTGTAACTACCCATGAACCTCCAAGCCCAGGATTTAGCGTTCTGTCTAGAGTACAACATAACTTAGCAGCAGGAAGCCTGCCACGTGGCACGTCCGTGCCTTTGCCCGGGACTGAGCTATTTCCCATATATTCCTGCGCAGCCGGAAATCGACCTTACCCCGGAAAGTTTAGCCCTAATACTACAACCCTATGGCCTAAACATGCCTACACCTTGAATCCTAAAACGTACCTAATCTCTATAAAGCTTAACTATGACCTAGCGCTACAGCGTAAACCTTAAGCCCGGACCCCTACGCTCAATCAACGTCCGGAAGCCGGGACCGGAGCCCTGATGCTTGGGCTTAAGGTATTTAGGGTTTAGGGTTTAAGGTATTTAGGGTTTAGGGTTTAGGGTTTAGGGTTTAAGGTATTTAGGGTTTAGGGTTTAAGGTATTTAGGGTTTAGGGTTTAAGGTATTTAGGGTTTAGGGTTTAAGGTATTTAGGGTTTAGGGTTTAAGGTATTTAGGGTTTAGGGTTTAAGGTATTTAGGGTTCAGGGTTTACGGTATTTAGGGTTTAGGGTTTAAAGTATTTAGGGTTTAGGGTTTAATGTATAGGGTTCAATCGGCTGCTAGGGTTTCGGGTGTTTCGGTCTCGGATTTTGCGGTTCAGGAGTGTTCTGGGCTTCGGGGGTTCGGGTTTGGGGTTCAGGGTTTGGGGTTCCATGTGTAGCTTTTCCACTCGCGGACTCGCGAACCCGGGGACGGAGGGGTTCGGGCGCTTTCTGTTGCCATCCAAACGAGTTACATAGCCCTAGATGGCAGTTTCCGAAAGTTAGGGGTACCTTATTTTGGGGTCCCTATAATAAGGATACCGCTTGTTTAGGGTACTATATTAGGGTCCCCTATCTTCGGAAATTCCCAACTCGTAAACCAGAGGCGTCAAAGATTCGAGTAAGGCCTGTTTCAGTATGCGACCTGGGCCTAGATTTCAGAACATTGCCTCATCATCAACAGAAGCAGCGCTCACTGAGGGTCCGCTCTTTTCACAAACCCGCGTTGTGCCGGGTGCGGTTATTGCATTTGTCTGGGGGAAACCTGTATACCACAGCAGCCCCAGCCCTAAACTCTAGCATAAGGGCTTGAATACTGAATGGCAGTACTTTTCTGCAGGGTTCCATCTTGGCCACTTATCCAGCCTGCAGTCCCTAAACCCCTACTTGGAGGTTCATGGGTAGTTATAAGTAGGCGTTATAAGTAGGGTAACTATACTTATAACCCATTTTAGGAGACTTATAATACTTATAACCCCACTTATAACTACCCCTCAACCTCCAAGTAAACCCCAAATAGCCTCTTAGAGTAGCCAAGCCGCCCCTCGAAGTCCCTTCTTCGGTCTCGGAATGAAAGGAGGCCGAGTCCGAGCCCTTTCAAACACCCCAACCCCACATGTAGGATTTACATATACTGCGGCCGAGGCCCACGACTTCAACCCATGAGTCTAAAACCCAAGACGATCTTGAGAGGCCGGACATCCACCAGAAGGCAGCGGTCGCCAGCTGAGTGCATCTGAGCTGTAGTTAGCGGCACTCCTTCAAAGGAGCCTCGCCGGCCGGGCGGTTCACATGTGCTGACAATCTTCTCCAGATCTCGCTGCTGCTACTACTACTACTACTACTACCACTACCACTACTACTACTACTACTACTACTACTACTACTACTACTACTACTACTACTACTACTACTACTACTACTACTACTACTACTACTACTACTACTACTACTTCCTCTACTGCCACTGCTACTACTACTACTACTACTGCTACTACTACTACTACTACCACTACCACTACCACTACCACTACTACTACTACTACTACTACTACTACTACTACTACTACTACTACTACTACTACTACTACTACTACTACTGCTACTTCCTCTACTGCCACTGCTACTACTACTACTACTACTACTACTACTACTACTACTACTACTACTACCTCTGCTGCCACTGCTACTGCTACTACTACTACTACTACTACTACTACTACTACTACTACTACTAAGAGCGTAGTGCATAATTGACGCTATGCATTTCCCTACTTCACATGCCCAAAACTCGAGCTTTAAGCACATTTCACTATTTCTCTGGGGGGCGTGGAATTCTGAAAACCTTGACTTAGGAATTCTATCTTTGGGATTTGGGTTTCAGCTTGAGAGCGGGGATGTCTTTTGTGCTTTGGGTTTGATGAGACCTTGGATTTCGTATGAGGGCCTTGCTTTTCCTATGAGGGGCCTTGCTTTTCCTATGAGGGCCTTGCTTTTCCTATGAGTGCTTGTCCTGTGAGGGCCTTGCTTTTCCTATGAGGGCCTTGCTTTTCCTATGAGGGCCTTGCTTTTCCTATTAGGGCCTTGGAATAAATTTTCAGTACTTATTTTTGGCTTGGCTTGGCTTGGGGTGGTGGGGGTTGGGGGGTTCGGGGTTGGGGGGGTTGGGGAAAGGGGTGGGGGGGTGGGGGAGAGGCGGGAACAGATACGACAAAAAATCAGATGAAGCTGTTGGAATGCAGGTTTCGGCTTCGGGGGCTTCGGGCTTCCAACAAGGATGTGGCAACAAGCAACACACCGGTGAGGACTCTGCTTGCCCTTGTTGCGCCCACGGACGAGTTTGCGAGCCATGGCTCAGAACTACGCTCCTTGTGTGGGCTCCCCTGTAAAGCTTCCTGTTCTTGCATGGTTCAAGTAACTGCTGACAACACACATGATCCGACACTGCTGAATCAACTGCTGACAACTATCCTGATCCAAAATTCCACGCCCCTCCGACTGAGACAAGCCATGTCCTGCGTACATCGGAAAACACAGTGTTTTATGCGGGCGACGTGCACGACAACGCAGCGTCAAATATGCACTACGCGCGTAGTACTACTACTACTACTACTACTACTACTACTACTACTACTACCACTACTACTACTACTACTACTACTACTACCACTACTACTATCAGTACTACTACTACTACTACTACTACTACTACTACTACTACTACTACTACTACTACTACTACTACTACTACTACTACTACTTCTCCTGCTCCTGCTCCTACTCCTACTCCCACTCTCACCCCTACTCCTACTCTCACTCCTACGGCAACAGCTCCCGCTCCTGCTCTGGCTCCTACTCCTATATACTCTTACTCCTACTCCTCCTCCTGCAACAACTGTACCACTACGGCAACAAGTGCCACTGCTGCTAGTTGTCATAGTAAGTACAAAATGAAGGAAGAGAGTGGTCGTGACAGAAATTCAAGACTAAAACACTCCTACATATTCCTACTCTTCCTGCTTCTAACATTCACACTCGCTACTGCGCCTGCTCCTACTTCTACTCCTACTCCTGCTCCTCCTTCTCTCCTCCTTATCTTCCTCCACCTCCTGATACTCCTCCTACTCCGTCCCCTACTACTCCTGCTATTCCTATTCCTACTTCTCCTCTTCCTCCTCCTACTACTGTTACTACTTCTCCAACTCCTACTCCTATGCTCCTCCTCCTCCTCCGCCTCCTCCTCCTACTACCACTACTACCACGACCACTACCACTAGCACTGCCACCTCCCACTACCACTACCACTACCACTACCACTACCACTACCATAACTACTACCACTACTACTGCTACTGCTACGACTACTACTTCCACGGCGACGGCTACGACTACGACGACTACAACCATACCAGGACGACATACGCCAATAAGCCAGACTCACATGGGCCATATTGCTTGAATTCGTGATCGCTAGCTTCAACCCCAATGGGGGTTTGTGCACGGAGGCCACCAGGGCCTGGTTAGGATCCAATGCGTGACAAGCGGAAACATGTCCTCTTGGAGGTTCAGGGGTAGTTATAAGTATGGTTATGGGTTGTAAGAAAAGTGACTCTACTTATAACCCTACTTATAACTAACCATGAACCTCCAAGCTGGTGTGAACAGCCCGGGAACCTTTAGAGTTTTGCGCTTATATGGCTCGTAGGCTGCAGAATCTGCATTTATGCCCAGGTTCAGGCGTTGGCATTGAATTTAGCCTTCTTCTACTGATCCGGAAACCGTTTCAACTGCACTTGTGGCAACAGTAGCAGTAGTAGTAGTAGTAGTAGTAGTAGTAGTAATAGTAATAGCAGCAGTAGTAGTAGTTGTAGTAGTAGTAGTAGGAGGAGCAGTAGTAGTTGTAGGAGTAGTAGTAGTAGTAGTAGTAGTAGTAGTTGTTATTGTAATAATAATAGTAATGGTAATAATAGTAGTGGTAGTAGTAGTAGTAGTAGCACCAGGAGAAGTAGTAGTAGTAGTAGTAGTAGTAGTAGTAGTAGTAGTAGTACTAGTACTAGTACTAGTACTAGTACTAGTACTAGTACTAGTACTAGTACTAGTACTAGTACTAGTAGTCGTAGTAGTAGTAGTAGCAGTAGTAGCAGTAGTAGTAGTAGTCGTCGTAGTAGTAGTGGTAGTACCAGTAACTGTCGTGGTGGTTGTGGTAGTGGTAGTAGTAGTAGTAGTAGTAGTAGTAGCAGCAGCAGCAGGAGTAGTAGTAGTAGTTGTAGTAGCAGTAGTAGTAGTAGTAGTACTAGTAGTAGTAGTAGTAGTAGTAGTTGTTGTTGTTGTTGTTGTTGTTGTAGTGGTAGCAGTAGGAGTAGCAGACATAGTAGTAGCAGCACATTTTTAGGTGTAGGAATAGGAGCAGGCGTAGGAGGAGGGGGAGTAGTAGCAGTAGTAGCGGTAGCAGCATCAGCACTAGCAGTCTCAGCAGTAGTCTTGCAGTGGGACCCCGCGGTTAAGCATTTTTGGAATTTCGATCCGAACCCAGAGACAGGGTCATAGGCAGTTGTTCTAAAATACGAAGCCTTGCAATGCAACACCGCACAGGGTCTCGCACTCCGAAGCACGCTGAGGATGAAGAGATATAGTAAGGTATGTCATGTTATATCCAGTCATATCCCCGATTAGGCCTCATACTAAGTTCGCCGGTCATCTCAGTAGGTAAAGATGTTCTTAAGCAGCCTCTGGAGCTAGCACGCTTGGACGCCTGTTTCACATCGACGGAAGCTTCTTTAAACACACAAGCCCTAAACCCGAAACCCTGCACCCTGGGCAAACCCAGAAACCATAAGCCCAAAACCCTGAAGCTGATTAAAAACGCCAACCAGCACCCCAAACTGTTACGCTGAGCCATCCCATTTGAAGCTCAGGGTGTCAGGTCCGTGGGCCATGTCGGGTCTAGGGGTGGGGTTTAGGGTCTCGGTTTTAAGGGTTTAGGGTCTTGGGCCTAGGGTTTAAAGAAGGCTTGGGGTTTATGGGTTCAGAGTAGGATGTTAAGATGTCAGGTTTCGGGGCACGTAGCTCTGATTTGACTAAGCCTTCGACTTCAAACCCAAGCCGTAACCCCAGATTCGGAACTCCAAACCACGAGCCGACAGCCCTAAGCTTTCTACACCCTAAGCCTTCAATTCTTAAGCCGAGCTTCGGAACTTAAGCCCCGAAAGAGTCTGGCATTTAGGGGGTTAAGGGTTGTTGATTTGAGCGTGGCTTACCGTTCGTGGAAGCCTGGTGCTCTGCACACAGTCACATGTCCTTCGTACGCACAGAAGCATCCCCCAGTCGCTTTCAAAGGTGTTTCGGTTATAGGGTTTTGGGTTCAGGCTTTAGGAGTTTAGGGGTTTAGGGTTTAGAGTTCAGGGTTTAAGGGTTTAAGGGTTTAGGGTTTCGGGTTTAGGGTTTAGGCGGTTTTGGTTGCTTTACAAAAGTTCTCATCGTGATTCACCAGGGTGCTATCTGGTTTCAGCTTGTATCAGGCTGTTATAGGGCTGTCTGCCGGGTGTTATGAGGTGCTGTATGTCGAGCTGTTTGTAAACTTTCGCATAGCATAGGGCTTTGTGGGCCCCAATTATTAGTAGCATCCCTTAGAAGCTGCCCCCACCCTGTAATAGTGACTATAAGGATTATATTAGGGCCCTAGTATATTCCTATTATACCACTATCACAGGGTGGGGTCCCCTTCTAAAGCATCCCTATTTCTTCAGACGACGAACAAGTTTCAAAACATTCTGACAACTAGGAAGATCCTTCTTTCACTCAAGAATGTTTACAGACGCAAGCATGGCAAACCTTGATTAAGTCTTAGTATGAAGGAAACGAAGAGGCCCTCAGACAGACAGTAAGTTCGTAACTCAAAAACCCAACCCTTTTCTCTCTCAATGACAGCTCCGCTGCTCTTGCAATCACCCAGAAAGCCGTAAGCCCAGAACCCTAAACCCTTAGATCAGTTGGAAGACATGGGCTGTATGTCTGCATGACTCCCGCCGCTCCCTGCGCAGGGAAAACAGTTTACGGTTGGGGTGTCAGACTGGCTGAGGGGTTTAGGGTTTGGTTCAGGCTTAGGGTTTGGGTTCAGGGTTTCAGTATGTGGTTTAGTGTGTTTTAGGCCTCGGGTTTCAGGGTTTCAGTACACGCTTTAAGGTCTTTTATGCTTCAGGGTTTAAGTATAGCCTAGGGTTTAGGGCTTTT